ATGTGTTAAATATTTTATTTTGTCATGTCTTGAACAGACTGAATCCTGGTACATATAGGGATTATTACTACAACTTGATAGTTCAAGCTTAATTCTGAGCACTGTGTCCATGGATGCCAAGCCTGCTGATGCGGAATCGCATGCGCAATCACGTCCCATGGATGTCACAGCACGTAGGTCTCTTGAGATACACATACTAACCCAGAATACTACCTATAACGTGGCAGTAAACTTACCTTTATCACCGAATAGGCCAACTACAGAATTTCTCGACCCCCAAACACAACGAACAGACGATGGTGATATCACCGGCTGTGGCGAATTCGATGTGGAGACCAGTTCTGCAGTAGTGTACGACAATGATGATTTGGAGTGCAAGATAAGCATACGCTTGAAGGAAGACTTCCTGCTCAATGGTATGAAGGTGAGTCTTATCTCACGCATAGTATATAGACGCATTCACTCGAGCTCTTTATTACAAGAAACATCCAGCACAACACAGCCGATTGATATAACAATTCTACTTCCGGGGGAGCTGAAGGTATTCACAGTGAACTTCTTAGTGCCGATGTTTTCACCACCCTCATTCCGCACACGCCATGATGTATATTTGGGCGAAGAACTGATACATCTAGATGCAGAGGTACAGTGGTTGATAGTGCTCGTAGGTAAGTATCCCGGAGAGAAGACTACTATAAACGGGGTTGTCGAGGAAAGCACGACATCAGCAACAACTGAGAGCGTTCTAGCGCTGAAGCAGATCACCAAACGAACTCTATACCAGCCCGAGTCACAGTACATCAAAGTGGAAGGTATATCAATACCCCATGTGATGAGTGCGATTGCACCGTCGTTTAGGAAGGCCACACTTGGCAACGGAGAAGGTGGTTGCGATGGTATCCAGTCGCATGATTCTAAAGATAGCTTCGGTAGTTCGTATGGGGTGGGGCCTGCGACCGGTGTAAGCCGTACTGGACTGCTCACATCGCAGGCTAGTGTAGGTGGAAGGGATGAGCATGAGGAAGAGGAGATGGAGGTCAATAGAGACACTGTCGATGGGAGTCTGTATTATACCAACAGCAGAAGCGGTGAGTACACTAGAGATGCCACTCACGGTAACCAAGGTAGTATGCCGAGTGCAAGTCATAACAGCAGCAGCCCCTCTGCACGATCGCCGAGCACGCACAAGCCGGAGATGACGTTTATGTACGACTCGAATCAGCCAACGAACTATTCAGCAGATTGTGCCTATGCAGACATGGAGACCACATGCACAGGACCGCCAATGACAGGTGTAGGGGGCAAGATACCGGCAACTAAGTATCAGATGGTGATGCGTGCAAAGATACCGGGCATGATAAACACAGACGAGGTGTTCACTGTGAACGTGAAGGTGAGGGATGTGAGTAAGCTGCTGTATGTGAGGCGGGTAAGAGTGCAGCTGAACCAGAATGTGACGTACATGTACGGCGACCAACGGAGGCAGTGGAGCACGGTGGTGGCCAGTGCCAAGGCCAAGCCGAAGACAGGGCCACAAAAAAGGACTGTTTTGTCCTGTGACGTCAGACTGGATACCGCGCAGAAGAAGTACCGACGTGATTTCCGGGACTTTGCTGCTGAGTCGTACTTGGAGAGTTATCCCGTGCCTACATGTATAGTGACCAACAAGCATAATAAAATACTGCTGAGCGTAGAGTATACCGTTACTATCAAGTGCTATGTGCGTGGTGGTAAGGATATTAGGAGGATGGTACCCATAGTTATGGAGAGTCGTACATCTCTACCTGAAACCGTAGGTATATCGGTATAGATTGGGCGGAACAAGCCGTTTAAGGATGCGCACGCAGAACAAGCCGTTTAAGGATGCGCAACGCAGAACTGGAACACCTGATACCCGCACCAGAAGCACACTCACTCCCCACATTTGAGGAGTTGTCTTTGGCAAATGAGGATATCGAGAGCGAAGACAGCGCTGAGATTGGAGATGAAGTGAAGGAATGGGGCACATCAGATACACAAAGTTATGCACAGAGTAGTACACAAAGCAATATACAGGGTAACACACAAAACAATACACAGGGCAATACACAGAGTAAGCCGGCATCGGTTGCTCATAGTAAGAGACAGCACGCATCATCGTTTGTATGAAGGCTAGTGGCGGTGGTCTATACGCGAGGCCCAATTCAGGCGACACAGGAGGGCTACATATCAGGGGTATGGGTACCACCACCTCAACAGAGAAGACAGGCGGGGGGAAAGCACCCCCCCACACACCCCAAGACACACCCACCCAACAACAGCCATTGCTCTATGGAGGCTTAGAGAGGGAGAATGGGCCGTTGCGGGTGAGCCTGCCTGCGAGTGCGAGCAAAGCCATGATACCCCCCGCGTACGACAAGGTGCACACACGCTCGACAGCGACCTATACAGGCACAGTGGTAGACTTTGCGGCGGTAGGCCTGGGCGATACAGGCCGCAGTGCCGCTGCAGAGGGGGATGGGGCACACACACACACACACAGACGGATAGAGATGTGAGATCTACCTCGAAGGAGACGCATACATCAACTGCGTACTCAAATCCAGCGGTAGACAGAGTAGGTAGGCGTTTGGCGGCAGTAGCGCCGGTGGACGCGGGTGCTAAGGCAAATGCAGACACAGCCCTGGCGCGGTCTCGGTCGGGGTCTGGGTCTATACTGCAAGCCATTACCAAGCGAGCGCAACGGCTGACTACGGCTAGAAACCACCCCCGCACATACAGTAACAGTGAGGCGAACAACACAGCGAGAAGCTGTGCCACGGACACGGGGTCGGGTACTGATGCCGGACACATGCTGGAGATGCAGGACTTCACCCCGGCAGGCGATGGAAGTGTGCCACAGTCAGAGACGGAGAGTGGTGAGGTGCATCACGCACGGACTGGTAGTACGGGTGGGATTGGCATAGCGCAGATAGGTGGCGGTGGGGTAGAGGATGGAGGTCGTGTGAAGGGTCGTAGTCATGGAGTGGGTACGCGAAGAGACGTGAGGGGCAAACACAGCCGCACAAAGTCTCTCAACGCACTGCAAATCCTCAAGAAGACTGTCTTGTCGGAAGGAAACGGACAAGACACTGCGTGATACGACACTCAACGATACCACACCACGGGATACTACCCTGCCACCGGCTTATACTGCAAGGGGTGTGCACAGAAGTGATAGTAAGGAGTTGCAGTTGGGTGCTATGTCAGGTGGAGTACAGCAGAGGCCCACGAAGGTACCTACACACACCACGAAGAGCGGTGTCACTTTCGCTAAGTATGCTGGCGATAGCACAGTGATTGGTGTGCCACATAGCCAGCGCAGCGGAACTGCGGTGTTCATCCCTGAGGGCATGTCGTACGAGGCGGTAATTGCCGCATTACGGCACCAAATGTACGGAAGTCTTTAGTAGACACGATGTACATGTATGCCACTATGACAGGAATGTCGTACGCATTGGGGCACCAAATGCATGGAAGTCTGTAGTAGGTACATGGGGAGCGACATTTATGTGCGGTATATTGCGCATACTTTGACGCTGTGATATCATTCGGGTCTGTGCTTATCGCATTGCGGTACCAAATGCATTTGGGTGTGTACTGGATATGAGATACGTACAAGGTTAAAAGCGTTGAGGGAATCCGCACCTGTCTCGGCCTTAAGTCCGTGTTTAACGTACCGGATACTCACCATATCATATAATCTGGTGAATCCGTTACTATAACATCGTGCGACTACTTTTGGACTGGGCCCTTCCGTACATGTTACAGTACAACCACACATACCTGTCAGACCATTAAAAACCCGACAATATGATCACAAATTAACAACTTGGTCGCAAACCCAACAATACGATCTTGTGAAGACTTTGTTAGAGCATTGCATAGTACTTTAGGCCTGAGGTAACCCGCTCATGTCACAGTACGATCACACACACCGAACATTTCATTACAAACCTAACAATATGATCACAGACCCAACAATATGATCTAGTGAAGCCTTTATTGAAGCACTGGACAGTACTTTAAGTTTGCGGCAATCCGCACATGTCACAGTACGACCACACACACCGAACATGTCATTACAAACCCAACAATATGATCACAGACCCAACAATATGATCTCGTGAAGCCTTTATTAAAGCACTGGACAGTACTTTCAGTTTGCGACAATCCGCACATGTCACAGTACGACCACACGCACCGAACATGTCATTACAAACCCAACAATATGATCACAGACCCAACATTATGATCTAGTGAAGCCTTTATTGAAGCACTGGACAGTATTTTAAGTTTGCGGCAATCCGCACATTTCACAGTCCGTCCGTCCGTGATTGATAAACGTGCAATGCGCACAGGTCCACTCCGCGTCCGAAGCAGTTGCTCCACCGGCAGAGGCACTCGCTGACCCACCCACACTGTCGAATTCTGGGACCAGGAAAAGTGAATATGTGCAATAAATTGTGTAAGAAAGAATTCGTATAGTTATAAATAATATATATATATATATTTATATATATATACATATATATACAAATATATACATACATATACATGTATATATAT